ATATATATATATTCTAATTATCACTTTGACTTTACTGCTTCATTATTAAACTGTGTGTTTCTTCTTCTGTTGCACAGGAGACGAAGTGGAGACTAACGAGGCTGACACTCAGATGTGTGAAGATGACGACGATGACCCTGAGAACAGGTACTCAGCATAATAAGCTCCTCATGAGCTCCTGACTGTGGATACAGACAACAAGAGAGCTGTCGTGTAATTATACTGAGCAGTTAAGTGGTCTGGTAAAGCAAAGTTGTCCCAAACGTTATGGAATCTGACGTAACTTGAGTTCCCGTAATGTTTCTGAAAAACGAAGAACAATAAATGGTTCAAACAATAATTCTCCCAAAAGCAGAGACAGAAAAACAAACCACGCTTGCCACATTCTTTACATTTTCTGTTTATAACTACTAAAAGCATTTTTGCATTTTCTTAAGGTTAATTGTATTAAATGACATTTTTGACAGTGGTCATGTTAATTCTAAAGTGTTTTGAATGCTGAGCATTCTTATCTTCATTTGCACATTTTAACGAAATTCTGACCAGATAACTAATGACCAAAAAGACCAATAGATAATGTCTGTCTTTATGAAGTATAAAAAGACCTGCCATAATCACATTGGGTAATGGCTGTAGCAGTTAAGAAATTATACCTGGAAAGCTTGGTGTTTCATGTCATTTTCAATAGTTTGTTTCCATTTATTGAAAATTTTGTGTTTTCACTGTTTTATGCAAATAATCTGACCCTCTCCTGTTTTGCCTGTTTGTTTTTTTCTCGTTCCTCCAAAGGATTGCTAAAAAGATGCTTCTTGCTCAAATAAAATCTAACTATTCTTCCGGAGCAGAGAGCTCCTCTGATAACGACGAGGCAGAAAAGGAAGAGAACTCCTCCAAGAAAGTTAAAGACGAGGACGAGGATGAGGATGACAATGACGATGATCAAGGTTGAATAATGGCTAAATACATTGTGTTTATAAAGAGCTAATTTTTGACTTGGTCCTGTCTCAAGTTGTTTTTATTTCTCCTAAAAGATGAAGACGTTACAGAAGACAGTTCATCCGGTTCAGATGTTGAAGTGAAGAAGAGTCGCAGGCGACACAAACTTCTCCGTCACAAACTCTCCCTGAGTGAAGGTGAATCCGGGGACGAGAAATCTGCCAGTAGAGTGAAGAATAAGGGGAGCAAGAGAAAGTCAGGGAAAAAAGGTAAATTTAAAATTAATATTATTGTTATATGTTATGTATAGAAGCTTCTTAAATGGACTTTATATTTTGTCAGTAGGAAGTGATGACTCTGCGGACTCGGACTTTGAAAAATCGGACTCTGATGATTCTGAGTCGGGGGTGAGCGAGGAAGTTAGTGAATCTGAGAACGACGGCAAGCGTCGAAGCACTAGGTGAGGGGAGAAAACTCAGCCTAACCTGACGTAGTTGATTGTTTTCTCTATACATGATCTGAAACAATGTTCTTTTTTCTTCTTTTTTAGATCTTCAAAGAAAAAGGAAGATGACAAACGAAGTTACAAGCAGCAGAAAAAAAAGCGACGTAGGATTAAAGTTCAGGACGACTCCTCCAGCAACGAGAAGGTGTTTTAAATACTGCTTGTTTGATAGTTTCCCCTTAAATATTCCAACATTTGATTTTTTTAAATATATTTTTCTTTGAGTTTTTCAGTTTACTAGTCAGGTCATGTATGGCATCTAAAATGTTATTCAAACTTCCCCTGGAGTGTGTTTCTCCGTATTACTGAGAATTTCTCTGATACTGATAATATAAAGTTGGAATGGAATAAATTTTTTAACCTCAGGGTTAAAGATCAGAGAGTTGAACTTAACGTTCATTTCCACAGAGCGGAAAGGAGGAAGGAGAGGGAGAGGAAGATAACGAGGACCAAGATGGGGAAGGGCAAAAAGGCCGAAAAAAGATTCGCAAAATCTTGAAGGACGACAAGCTGCGAACGGAGACGAGAGATGCTCTGAAAGAAGAGGAGGAGAGGAGGAAACGTATTGCTGAGAGGGAGGCGCTTAGGCAGAAACTTCGAGAGGTAAACACTAAGTGTTTATTTGATAAACAGAACGAGCTTCTAACCCCTTTAACCATCCGGTTGTGTTGTTGGCTACAGCTTGTCAGGTAATCTGTATAAGATGATTTATTTCAATCCAGGGTAGGACTGCAAATAATGACTATCTGATTTTTTTTTTTTTTTCAATTAGTCGACTAGTCAACAATTATTTTTGTCTCCATCTATGCTTCCTGTGGGCTCACCTCCTTTTCTAGCTCCAGTACATAATCTCATCTCACCTGCTTATCATACCTGTGAATGTCACCCTGTTATCCAGTCTCTCTATCTTAACACATTCCCATAGCAAATTAAACTAATGACCCATGAAACATGATTTTGAACCTCAACCTTAATGGCTTACTCAGCTGTATTTTAACATCAATATATGTAAACATAATAAAAATTAAAATCTTGCTGGACCTGGCAGTCCAGAAGTTATAAGCAGGGTTGCACATAAAAATTTTGGTCTGGTTCTCAGGGGAGAACCTAGGGTTTTTGCTTGGTGCTCATATTTTCCTAAACTCATTTAACACATTTATCTAGAGGGGCGTCAGGGCATCTAACGTCTTTTATTCTTTAACGTCTTTATTCAAAAAATAATAATATTTAGATGGTTTCAGCTCATGTAATTTATTCTTCATATTTGATCATTTATTGAATTACATTTATCCCATAAAAGCTGTATCACAGTATGGTCCTAAATATAAACAAGTTTAGCACATCAAGAAGCTTTTTTTTTCTGTGATAAAATTGTGAATGAAATTTGTGGATCTTTATGATAAATTAAAATAACATTTAAAACTCATTCATTTAGACAACATGGCAAGTTGTTTTTATTTTTATTTTTAATATATATACTTTTTTGATGGGGGTGTTGTTAAACAGAGAATCATCTTTGCTTTAATATGGGGCAAACAAATGTTCTGTTAGTTAATGTGGTTTAACAAGAAGAACTCAAACTGAATAAAACTCGGCCTGTGCGCGCAGCGACACACTCCCCATCACAGCAGTCTCTCATCAGGAGGAGAGAGTTTAGTCACTCACACAAAGTTGGACAGATCTGTTTGACAACGACGCTCTGAACATATATTTAATATAAAGTTAGGTTTTACAGACCAAAGTCCAAGTAGCTCAGGAGCAAAGTGCAGGAGGAGATGTCAAGCCGGGTTCCCACCACCAAACGTGTTTTGAGCAGCCAAAGCAGCCAGTTTACATGCAAAGTCTGACTGCAGCAGTAGCTGTTTCAACCAAACATGCTCTCACTGAAAGTCCCGCTCTGTTCTGCTCTGATTGGATAAAACGGCTTTGGACTTCGTCTGATTTGTTGAAGGCAGTGTCCATTTAATCCTTATGTCAGGGTCCTGCAGCCCGCTGTCTTGGTGAGCACCGAAAAACAATCCAGTCACACCAGTGCAGCTGGATTTTTTTTTTTTTTTTAAGAAATCAAGTCTCATTTGCAACCAAACTGGTCGCACTCTAGAGCACTGCTAGCTGTTGTTTTGACAGACAATCAGGTACAATCTTAGGTACGCAAGTGAGCTTTATGATGTTTCATCTGGTGCGCTTTTCCTTGTTTTTGATCGCGCATGCGCACCTGCGCACTGCTTATGTGCAACCCTGGTTATAAGGCTTCAATTCCATTAAAAAAAAACAGTAGAAAACGAGACAGGATGGAATGTTACTATAATTCAGTGATCACCTCATTAGCTAATGCTAGCATAACTGATAGCTCTGCTTCCAGCAAACACTGGTGGAATAAAACATAAGCAGCACCTCATACCTTCATTCACAAGTGTACCATTAAGCTATTTGATCTCACAGGTGCTTAAAAATATTAAATTACAATCAGTCTGCAGCTACGTTCTACAAAATATTTTGTTCCTCAAGTTTTTGTAGAATTGTGTTTTGACTCTGGGGTTCTGTGAAAAGGTTATAAACAATTTAATATCTTACTATAAATTTACTAATTAGATAAATTATTTCTGATCAGATGGACAAGCTAACAACAAGTCTGAGCAGACCACAAACCAAAAGCCCCTTAAAACTAGATAAAAAGTTTGAAAAAAACAACCTGCTGCTGGATGACTGAGAATCGTCACCAGCAAAAGCTCCGTCTCTATTGTCAAGTCCCAATCTAATCACTTCATGTCTGGTTCTACTCAAGTGTAGGTGTGTCTCCATGGCAGTGTGTCCCTCACTCTGTGGGCGGATTGTCAGCAGGTGCTTTCGCCTGCTGTGGTCCTAATTTGTAATGTTTTTTGTGAGGATTTTTTTATATACAATTTGTCGCTGCACTGTTTATAATGGCGTGTAACCGAAGGCAGCCAGTTTGTCTGAAACAGACTGCTCTGTGGAGGTCAGGCTGTATGTTCTCAAATTCTAAAAATATATAGGTTGCACCTCTCTCCAGGAAGAGTTTGCAAGTTTCGCCTTGGCTCAGTCAATCCACAGGCAGCAGTCTGCTGATGTCGAAATCACTTGCYCACAATACTCTGTGTCACCTGAGGTGGGTCCAAAAACCACACAGGAACTGGAAATGGAGACCCGTTTGGCCGATGCTGGATTGATTAGAAACGCCTGAAGGCATGCCTCTGGAGAAGAGGCTAAAATGCATTGTTGCCTTTTTATAATAACTCTGATCTCAAACATTCATCAGCAGATCACAAGGCTGCTATTTTTATTTAATTTTTGAAACCTTTACTGTCAGATTGGCTTTACATTGTTATTTAAATACAGTCCTGTGGTTATTTGCTTTGTCTGGGAATGTATTATTTTGCCCAGAGTAATTATGTCAGACTTGAACTCACATTTCTACAACAGTACAGTATTAATTGTTTATAACCTTTCCACAGAACCCCACTTAAAATTTTAACAATTGCTTTCTACAATGTTTGGTTTATATTATGTAGGAGTGTAACAATACATCGATCCACATTGATGTATTGGTTAAATGATTAATTATTCAATTACATTAGGTCAAAACGAAAACTTTGATCATATAATCATCATTTGCCCATTAACACAATCATGAGCGTATAATATCGCATCATATCGATCACAGACTTGTGAATTGTATTGAAATTGAATCGTGACAGACAAGCTGATGATTTACTCCCATAATAATCATTTTGTTTTGAAATAATAAACACTGAGCTGCACGAAGGGATGGGTACCGAATTAAATACTATTTTTTAAGTACAGACCAAATTCTGTCGGTACTACCGAGAACCTATTCACGTAACATCAAACGGTACCATGTMTCTGTACCTAAACGCATCATTGCGACTGTATTGGCGTAAGAGTGGGAGATTTTCCATGCTTTTCCTGAATGCAGCATCGCACAAGAGCGTAATGACGTCAGCAGCTGCTGGTTCAGTAAACAGAGCTGACTGAACATAGCTTGAAAGCCTCGCAGCTCCTGGAGTGAAACTCACCGAACAGACCGCCTCTGAATTATCTGGTGGATTAATTATCTTGTTAACATGACATTCACTTGCTCAAATTAAATAAAGTACCGCCACTTTCTTTATTTCATCCACCATTAAACAGAGACCGGCAGAGGAAAACAACAGAAGAGCTTCCCGACAGTCCGAACACGTCTGACCTGAAAGAGCACAAGCAGAAAGCTTGAAGTGTTGGTGTGTTTTGGATGCTCAAAACGTAGTTTGAATACCTTTTTATTTATTTAACTCCATCCTCTTTTGCTTATTTGATTTAAACTTATTTGCCTTCCATGGACCTCCATCACACAATTTTTCTAGCGGGGAAATGACATCAATAGAAACACGTGGAGCTGGATTTTAATTTGTGCAATAAGACAAAACAGTCTTGTTGTTTTCAAGAGTTTTCACTTTAAAGAAATTAGTTAAAACAACTGATGTTACAATACAAAGAGTTGGATGTTGTCTTGATATTTGTTAAATTTTATATGTTGAGAAATATGTTAAAAAATCATCCCATCCCTAGCTGAACATCAGAATGTTGAGCTGTCAAAATTTAGCACACCTACAGAGGAGCAGGTACAGTATGTAAATCTGGACCTCAAACCTAATATAAATATTTTCTAGGTATTATTTGATTGACTTTATCTTCAGTAGTGAAATGGACATGCTTTTATCTTTTTGTGTTTAATCTATCTTAGGTAATTGTTGTGGAGGAAGCATCCCAGGTGACGTGTCCTATCACCACCAAGCTGGTGCTGGATGAGGATGAAGAGACCAAAGAGCCACTGGTGCAGGTGCACAGGAACCTTGTCACAAAGCTCAAACCTCACCAGGTTGATGGTAAATAAGCAAAGCGGAGAATAAATAAAAAAAAATAAAAGATGAGCCAAAATGGTTTCAGACTGTAGCCATTTTAAAATGTTTTTGTTTCAGGTGTTCAGTTTATGTGGGACTGCTGCTGTGAATCTGTYAAAAAGATTAAGAAGTCTGCAGGTTCTGGCTGCATCCTGGCCCACTGCATGGGTCTGGGGAAAACTCTGCAGGTAGGAAATGGTGAAATGTTTTAATTATATTGTTTGTGCTTCTGTTAAATCTATAATAACAGAGTAGTTTGTCCCAACATGTTTATATGAAGCTGAGAGGGAAAAAGTTACATTGTACTTAAATGTGACTGCAGTAGTTCATCTTTGTGTTTAATGAAAGTCATACCTTTTTGGTTTCTAGGTCCAGCCTAGTCAGCTCCACCACTTAAACTGAGCACATCTAAAGGATCTCAAATGTCTGTATTTAACTGTTAGCTGTTCTCATTTCGTCCTGTAGGTGGTGACATTCCTCCACACGCTGCTGCTTTGTGAAAAGCTTGACTTCAGCACGGCTTTAGTGGTTTGTCCCCTCAACACTGTCCTTAACTGGCTGAACGAGTTCGAGAAATGGCAGGAAGGATTAAAGGACGAGGAGAGCTTAGAGGTAAGGAACTGTTCTGTTTTCTTCTTCATTTGACACAAGCGTGGCGCTCAACGTATTGGTATTTTTGGTGTTATTAACAGGTGACGGAGCTGGCTACTGTGAAGAGGCCTCAGGAGCGAGCGTACGCCCTCAGCAGCTGGCAGGAGTCTGGCGGTGTCATGATCATGGGTTACGAGATGTACCGAAATTTGACGCAGGGTCGGAACATCAAGAGCAAGAAGCTGAAAGAAACGTTTCAGAAAACACTTGTAGATCCAGGTACAGTTCTTATAAAGTGTAAATAAATTTGATTTTTTTTCTTCAAATTCAAACTGTTTAACACATAAACTAGTAAAAGCAAAAAGTGGGAAAAGGAGAATGCATGGTAGTTATTTATTACTATAAAAAACTGGCAAAGTTTAGACCACTGTTTTTCAAAGCTTTGAGTAAAAAAAATGCAAATGCAAAAAAGCAAAAATTAAAAAAATCTAATAAGTGTTTTAAGT